TGCCAGCTCTGGGTGGTTTAAATAGATGAGGAGGCTCAGCATGTTGTCTGTCTACTCTCTGCCCACACAATGGCTACAGCCTAGAGTTGGTGAGGGAGCAAGAGGAGAGCCCTAAGGGGGAGGGGAGCCCCAGCCCAAACATGCACACCTGCATACTGTGAGCACAAACTCACTGCCCTTCTTCATTTTCCCCTTATCTCTCTTTCCCAGGTCTGTTCCTCTCTCTTTCCTTCTCTCCCTCTCTCTCCTCCCCCTTTCCCTTTCATTATTTCTTGTCTCCAGATTTATCTTTCTGGTTCTCTTCTGATCTCTGTTCTCACTTTCTCTCCCCTTCTCTTCCTTCTCTCTCTCCCATCCTCCTCCCTCCTCCTGAGCTCTACTCTCCCTCAGATGGAGCCTCCCCCCACAACCTTCCTCCTGCCTGACCACCCCCCCCCACTAGGCACATGCACTTTATCTTTTGCATCATACTTTTATTGTACCTTATCTATGTTTAGATACACAAATAGTTATCTTTGTGTTACAATTACCTGTGGTATTCAGTACATGCTATACAGGCTTGCAGCCTAGGAGCACTAGGCTGTACCATATAGCCTAGGTGTGCAGTAGGTTACCATCCAGGTTTGTGTAAGTGCACTCTATGACGTTTGCACAAGGACAAAATTGCCTAAGAATGCATTTCTCAGAATGTATCCCCATCATTAAGCAACACATGACTAATGAAAGTCCAACACGTGATACAATATAGATGAACCCTGAAAACATTATGCTAAGTGAAATAAGACAGTTATAAAAGGGCAAATGTTGTATAATTCCAGTTATATAAGGCCCCAAGAGTAGTCAAATTTATAGAGATAGAAAGTAGAATGGCAGTTATCAGAGGCTGACAGCAAGGGTAATAAAGAGTTATTACTGAATGGGTATAGAGTTTCAGTTTGATGAAAAAGTTATGAAGATTAGTGGTGATGGTTGCACAACAATGTGAATATACTTAATACCACTGACCTATACAATTAGAAATGGTTAAAATGGCAAATTTTATGTCATATTTTATCGCAATAAAAAAAGCAAAGTGCTTACATGTATAGGCTTTACTAAGATTCAGATACTATAATACATAACTTAAGTTGATTTTCTCATTTACTGATTATTGATAACCCCACTTTGTAGATTAAAAAGCCTCTTAGAAAAAGTGATTTGCTCCAGGTACACTAGTAAGAAGCCAATCTAGGATTGAAACCTTCCAGTCTGACTCCAGTCTATGAGCTTAGTCAGTGTGTTATACTAAAAAGAGAGACTACATTAAAGTAATGAGATAAAAAGCAAATTACAATATTTTTCAAATGATATTTTAAGTTGAATCAATACATTAAAATTTTAAATAACGAATTCCCAAAATGATGTGAAATCCAGACCGGGTATAATTAATAACGAGACACCTAAAATTGCCCTACATTGACCTTCACCATGAAGTTCTTATCCCCAAACCACAGCATCTCCAGAAATCGGACGAGAAGCCAGAATGTCCAAGAAATAGGGGTACTTGGAATTGCCCCATTCTTCCATAAGCCTTGGAATATTTCATAGTTTCCCTATTTTTTAAAAAATACTGTGGTCCCATTTATATTTTTTAATTATATATTTTTATCTCTATATTGTGAGTGGACTGTTAGAGAAGGACTGGAAGGAATCTGACTAAACCATAAACAAACGTTACCTCTGGATAGAGTAGCAAAATGGGAAGAAAGCAGGTAACTAAAGGAGAAACCATTATTTTTTATATTTATACTCTCTGTTTCAGTTTTCCAAAGAAGCAATCATCCAAATGACATCTATCCAATGTGTACCTAAGTCCAGGACCACAGCGGTTATGCTGAAACAAGATGAAAAGACAGAGTGCTTGTCTGCAATGAGCTCCATGTAGTAAACAGATGCAACGTTTCCGGTCTCCATGAGCAGTACTTCTCATGAACAAGACTCATGATGGTGTTCCAGCCCCTCCAGGGAAATTGTACCAACTTGATTCTCCAAATGTTCCCTGCCCCTTCAAAGGTCCTTCTTTTATGGACTTCTTGACTACCACCACCACAAAGAAGAAGAGTAGCCCAGCTGTATTAAATCTAAGACAATATTGACCAGCAGTTAAGGCTTGGATTCTGGTGTTACATTGTCAGAGTGTGTATCTGCCATTTGTTCACTGTGTGACTTTGGGCAAGTTTTTAAATCTGCCACAGCCTCTGTCTCCTCAGCTACTAAGTACCAACCATCACAGGGTTGTTGAGAGGCTTACATAAGCTAAGACATGTAAAACATTTGGAACAATGTCTGCTGTGTATTAAGTGGTCAGAAAATGTTAGCCATAGATGCATCAAATAGCCATGTGCAAGCAAGAGACTGTCCCAGGGATGGTGGGGGAAAAGATCATCCAAGGGAAAGGGGACCTTAGAGATAATTTTCGAGCTGATGGCACAGAGAGGTCCATAATGGCTCAATGTCATGCCTGAGGTTACACAGGTGGTCAGCAGCAGCACCAGGGCCAGACACAGGTTCTCTCTGACAAAGCTCAAAGCCCTGGAGGAATAGAAAGCAAGAGATCTCCAAAATGACTCTCCATGTAGGCACATATTACAAGTCTTATCTACTTCAATAATTGTACATTATAAAGTGATTAGTATTAACATGTGAATAAACAATCCTCTCAGTAGAATGGGAAAGAACTATTCCGCACACAGTGTGTGTGTATGGGGGCAGAGGAGAGGTGCAAAAATCACCCATGTCAAAGACTTTAGGGCATAGCCTGTTTCTGAAAAGTAGCCTGGGTAATAGCCCAGAATGCCAGGCCACTTTAGCAAAGCTCCAAGACAGCCACTACAGAGTCCAAAAAGTGGGGTCCAGACTCATTGGTCCATCCTGCCTACACAGCCTGCAAGCCCTGAAGGCAGGCCACAGAAGCAATAGAGCAGATAGGGAGGGTATGCTAGGCAAAATGTAGACACCAGACTCCAGAAACACTTCCACTATGTAACTATTGCCAGTTCAGTTTACCATCCACCATCAATCTACCTCCCAAGCCTCTCCTTCCCCACCAGGCTCTCCATGCCATCCTCCCACCACTCTAATCTTTCCAACCTTCCCACTCTATGCCCACATAGATTGTCCTGGATTACAATTCTGTGTCCACATAGAGCCACACTTTCCAGCCTCAGTGCTTTGCCCAGGCTTTCTCTTCCTCCTAAAATGCTGCCACCTGCTATTGCTATGATCCCTTTACCATCAACTAAAACTGTTGGGCAAAAATTTTCCCCCAGCCCTGGCCAGTTTGGCTCAGCGGACCAGAGAGTCCCAGGTTTGGTTCCCGCTAAGGGCACATACCTCAATTGCAGTTTGTCCCCGGCCCTGGTTGGGGTCGTGTGGGTGGCAACCACTTGATGTGTCTCTCACATCGATGTTTCTCTCTCTCCCTCCTGCTCTATCCGAAGACAAATGCAAAAATGTCCTCAAGTGAGGATTTAAAAAAAAAATTTTCCACAGAAATGCCAACCTTTCCATGAAGCTATCCTAAATTAAGAACTTGCCTTTCCATCCTCTGAACCTTCTAGATCTTTCTAAGGCATTCAATAAATTCTACCTCACTCCCCTCTCAAGACTCTCTCCTTTACAGCCATTTGCAGTAATCTCTAACAAGTTGTTAGCACTACTAGTTGCTAGCACAGAGGTCAGAATGGTGGCTGATGTGCACCAGGGGGAGCTGGGAAGGAAAGCAATAAAGAGTGAGTAGACAGCAAAGACTTACTATGTCCCAGAACTATTCTAAGTGTTTAACATATGTTAACTCAATTAGTCCTGAAGACAACCCCATTAGGTAGGTGCTATTATCTCCACATTACAGAGGCAGAAACTGAGGTACAGGTGGGTTGACTAACTTGCCCAAGGTCAAACAGTAGGGTTGTGAATTGAACCAGACCAACTGGCTCTTTATACTGTTTCTCTGCAACACTGTTTCTTCTCACCCTGCATCACTAAAAACATCTTCAACTGTTCCACTCATTGTGTGCATTGCCTTTTTAAATCAAAAACATGCTCTGCAACTAGCAATGTGGCACCAAATTCCCACCTACTGTTTTCTAAGCCAGAAATTAAATATCCATTCTAGCCATGATAGTAAATAATATATGTCAAGGTCTCAAATCCAAAACATTGCTTAAACAGAGAGAATTATAGATATTGCTAATGCAATGGGTCTCAGGCCATTTACCTAGCTCAATATTTGCCATTATTTCCATCCTAAAATATATACCAGAACCATCTGCAATGACACTCTGAATATAACTTTGATAGAATTATGGGATCAATATACAATTATAGCATGAAGTTACTGATACACATAATTGTCGCATGTTTAGGATTTTTTTTTTTAACAATCATAAAGGAATTTGGGCCTCCCACTATGGATAAGAGAATATAGACAATATACATTTGGATTACAATTATATTCAAATATAACTGCAACAGCAATTACCTATCTATATAATCCAGTTTTTAAATAATCTAATGTTAAACATCCTACTAACAAGCCAAAGTTTTGTTAATTATGAACAAGCCAGATAATTTTCTCAATCTTCTGTCAAGACAGGCAGGGAGAGGGGACGTATAAAGAGTTCAGTTTAACAAATGTATAATCTGTTTTCACAGAAAGAAAATAGAAAAATAAATATATCAGTAGGTTCGACTCTTAAGTTAGGAGAGGCTTACAACAGGATACCTGTTATATTTCTGTTCCCAGAAAATTTTAAAATAGCATACAGATGACTAAGATGTTAAATTAAATTAAAATCTTAGCAAAGCAGAAGAAAAGGAAGCCTAGGCTCTGTGCAGTTTGTGGGAGCAAGCGATATTTTTTCTTTCCCCGAAGAAGAGAAGACTAGTGAGAACAGCAAAAAGACTCAGAATAGAGATCACAGCAGGAGAAACAGGATATCCAGCACGTATCCAAAACTTACCCAACTTGGTCTGTTTACTCAACACTTTATTTTTCCCACTTTGCCAGTTTAAATCAGACCGCGGCTGAGCTTTTGTTGTTGCTGTTTCTGTTCTTTTGATCCCAGAGCCCCATGAAAATTAAACTTTGTGTTGGATGGGATCTGGCCCCGTCTCACATTAGAGTAGGGGGAAATGTTTTAAACTTGGATCCTCGTTTGCTTCTTTGGGAAAACGAATAAATAGTAAGTGGCTAGAAGGAGAGGACGTGGGAGACGTGCTCAGATGACGTTGGGCCCGCGAAGGGGCTGCACAGTTCCCCAGCGCAGCTGTCCAGATGTGCCTCATCTGGTCCCCCCGCGGGGCACGAATCTCGGCCGCCGTGGCTACCCGAAGCTCCAGCTCATTGGTGGCTGCAGCTCCTCACTTGTCGCCTATTGGTCGGGCGGCCCGCCATTCCGGCAGGCCTGGGCCCGCCCCCGCCCGCCGGGCCAGCTGGTTGCATCCTCTTAGGGAACCTGGAAGTGCTGCGCGGGCGCTGATGTGGCAGTCGGCGGCGCCAAGCCAACCCGAGAGGGGCCCGGGGCCGAGGGGTGGCTCCTCTGCACCCAGGCCCCTGTTACGCCCATCCTTTTAGGCACTTAGGCTGGTTTAAGCAGGATGATTTTACTTTATTTTTGGGATGAAATTAAGGCGCGCCCTGCGCTCGCTTAAATCCCCTGCAATCCCAAGGGGAAGGGAATGGGGCTTCGGGATGCCCACGCCCCCAAAGGGCGTTCAGCCAGCTCAGGGTTTCAGCCTCTCCACTTGCTCCAGAGAGCAAATTATAAAACCGAAGAGCCTGTTCCTTGAGGATAGTGTTCTTTTGTTGGGGGGAAAGCCTTAATGAATCCTTCTTTGAAGCCCTTATTAAACAGGAGGTGTCTGTTACCTGCGGAGAGAAGGCCAAGGTTGGTTACAGGGGTGCTTAGATTGGTTTGGTGTTTTTGTTGTTGGATGGTGGAAAACAGAAATGTCGTTTGGTCCTATGAAAAATTAGACAGGGCTACCCCTAACGATGTTTTGATCCTGGGGAAAGTGTGGAAGGGTTGACTGGTTGGTTGATTAATTGGTGAGGGTTGAGGGGCTTAAGATTTGTAAATCAATTTCCATTATAACTTAAAGATGTTGACAGAAACGCGACCTTATTGAAATATTAAGATGTCAAAAGCCACACTCATTGGACCACACATATTGGAAGACGCCAGCTTCTGTACTAAACAGCTTGACCCAGATTATCATATTTAATTCTTAACAACCACCTTATAAAGCAGATATTATAATTATCTTCATTTTCAGATGAGGCTACCAAGACACAGAGAAGCCTATCTCAGCATACCACTGAGATCTCCAATATATGTTTGCAGCACTGCACCATGGGTACATAAACTTATATGCTATTTGCCAGGAGTGGGTAGGTCAAAATTTATTGTGAGTGCCTCTACCTTCTTATGTTCAAAGCTTTCACCACATAGATGCTGTCCTCTTGGTTGGTATATTTGTTATTTATTGCTATGTATGTAATAGATTACCACAAATTTAGTATCTTCAAACACCACAAATTTATTGCACAGTTTTTGAGGGCCAGAAGTTCAGGCATGGCTTCACTGAATCCTCTGCTCAGGGTCTCACAAGGTGTTGTCTAGGCTGCATTCTCACCTGGAGGCTTGATTGAGGAAAAATCTGCTTCCAAGCTTCGCTTCCTCAGGTGGCTGGCAGGGTTCATTTCTTTGCAGCTGTAGGGCTAAGTCCCCAGATTCTTTCTGGATGTCAGCTAGCAGCTACCCTTATCCCTTAGTGTTTGCTCTTAGCTCCTACACTTTCTAAAAGCCAGGAGGTTAAGATCATGGGGGGCTACCTTAGAGTATGTTTGCCACAGAGGACCAGTCAGGCACTTCAGTCTCGATCACCCTGATTGCAATGTTATCACATCTACACAAGCTCTCCAAATATTCAGGGCCCTGCTTGCCTATTAGACTGGGAAATCATGAATGGATTCACAACACTTAATCTCTCTAGCAGCTAAGAAAACCCACAAAGAAAGTTTGGCCCTTGAAATCAGTCAAAAGCTTGGTTTTCTGAAACGTTTGTAATCTGACAAGAGTGCACCTTTAATCACAAAGGCTACTCAATAATGGGCTGATAGTCAAGGTTCATGATCAAACTTCCATGCTCATTACCATTGACAGGCATCTGATATTGATTGACCATTGAGACAGCTTCCTCAAAAATCTATGAAAAGATTGCTGGGGATTTCAGTTTGCAAGAATATAGAGTTGAAAAAAGTTTCTCTATTCTGTTAGTACAACTAAAAGGCCTGACTTTATGTAAATGAACAAACATAAGAAAAGGAAGGTGACACACAATTAGGAATCCAGGGAAGGAAAGAATGACAGGATGGTGAGTTCTCTGAGTTTTCTTTTGTCTCACTGACCCAGACTTGGAGCCCAGCAAAAGCTTGTTCACTCTAGCCAAAGGACCAAGAAAGGGGAGCCTAAAACAACAACAAAAAGTGGCTCAGCAGTTAGAGGGTCGGCCTTCAGACCAAAGAGTCTTGGGTTCCCTTCCAGTCAAGGGCATATACCTTTGTTGTGGTTGCATCCTTGACCCTTGTTGGAGTCGTGCGGGAGGCAACCAGTCAATGTGTTTCTCTCTCTCTCTCTCTCTCTCTCTCTCCCCCTCTCTCTCTCTCTCCCCCTCTCTCTCTCTGTCTCCCTCTCTCTCCCCGCCCCTCTCTCTTCCCCTCCTCCCTTCCTCCCTCCCACTCTACCTGAAAATCAGTGGAACAATATTCTCAGGTGAGGATTAAAGAAAAAAAAAGTTTAAATAATAAAGGCTATACTCCACCCAAACACCTCAGAGAAAACTGCAACTCCACCCACACCCACACCCGAAAGCCCAAGTGAAGAGAGTCTAGACTTCCACCCTCACAAGAATAAAACAAAGTGAAAACAAAGAACTAGGTTTTTTAAAAGATCAATATAGCCCTGGCTGGTTTTGCTCAGTGGTTGGAGCTTTGGCCTGCGGTTCAGTTCCCGCTAAGGGCACTTACCTTGGTTGCAGTTTGTCCCGCTAAGGGCACTTACCTTGGTTGCAGTTTGTCCCCGGCCCTGGTTGGGTCGTGCGGGTAGCAACCATTCCATGTGTCCCTTTCATGTCGATGTTTCTCTCTCTTTCTCTCTCTCCCCCTCCCATTCTATCCAAACAAACAATAGAAACATGTCCTCGGGTAAGGAATAAAAAAAAAAAAGATCAAGATAATTGGCACACCACTAGCACAATTGAAAAATAGAGAAGACACAAATTACCAATGTTAAGAATGAAGCAGGACTTCCGGTCAAGATGGCGGCGTAGATCAACGCGGTATCGTGTCCTCCCACAACCACATCAAAGTTACAACTAAACTACAGAACAACCATCATTCAAAACTGCCTGAAATCAAGCTGAATGGAAGTCCTACAACTACGGAATTAAAGCAGCAGCCACATCCAGACTGGTAGGAGGGGCGGAGGCGAGACGGGCTGGACCCACACCCACGTGTGGCGGATAAAAATCAGGAGGATACCTCGGCTGGAAAGGTCCTTCCTGAGGACTGAGGGGTCCCCATCCCACACCAGATGCCCTGCTCAGGGTCCCAGTGCGAGGAAGAGAAGTCCCCATAACTTCTGGCTGGAAAAACCAGCAGGAACTGAGGCTCAGGGAAGCTGACGGGGCTGGAGCCCCAGGCAGCTCCTTAAAGGGCCTGCGCACGGACTTATCAGACTCTCTCCCTCTAAGCTTGGAGGGGAGGCAGCTCGAGGGGCACCAGAGACATACAGGGAAGAACTGAGGGAAGACATGCAGGGCACTGGAGAGAGGGCTTTCTCCGGGACAAAAGTGCTGTCAGAGGCCTTTGTTCCTTTGATGAGCTCTTCCTGGGGGCGGCAGACAGCCGCCATATTTGGGACTTCAGCTCACACTGGTGGCCCTGCCCCATCCCACCCAACTTTCAGGCCCACCCAAGCTGTTGCCACTTGCTTAACCATAGGATTGGCCTGTCTTGGATCCTGCTTCAGGTTTTTCCTAAATTCTTTCAAACGAGCAGCCTCTGGTCTCAGCTAGCCCCATACTGCTCGTTAAGTAATACACAGAAACAAACACAGGGAGGCAGCCAAAATGAGGAGACAAAGAAACAGGTCCCAAATGAAAGAACAGAACAAAACCCCAAGAAAAGAACTAAGCAAAATGGAGATAAGCAACCTAACAGATGCTGAGTTCAAAATACTGCTTATAAGGATGCTCAATGAACTTAGTGAGAACCTCAGTGAACTTAATGAGGGCCTCAAGAGCATAATAAAGGACCAGTCAGAAATGATGGATGCACAGTCAGAAATGAAGGAGGCACTAACTGAAATAAAGAATAATTTACACAGATTCAATAGTAGAGTACGTAAATCCAAGAAGCAAACCATTGATTTGGAATATAAGAAAGCAAAAAACGCCCAATCAGAACAGAAAAAAGAAAAAGGAATCCAAAAAAAATGAGGATAGTGTAAGGAGCCTCTGGGACAACTTCAAGCGTGCCAACATTCGCATCTTGGGGGTGCCGGAAGGAGAAGAGAGAGAACAAGAAATCAAAAACCTGTTTGAAACAATAATGGCAGAAAACTTTCCTAACTTGGGGAAGGAAACAGACATACAAGTCCAGGAAGCACAGAGAGTCCCAAACAAGATGAACCCCAAGAGACCCACACCAAGACACATCATCATCAAAATGCAAAAGGTTCAAGACAAAGAGAGAATCTTAAAAGCAGCAAGAGAAAGGCAGCTAGTTACCTACAAGGGAGTTCCCATAAGGCTGTCAGCTGATTTCTCAAAAGGAACTTTGCAGGCCAGAAGGGAATGGCAAGAAATATTCAGAGTGATGAAAAGCAAGAACCTACAACCAAGATTACTCTATCCTGCAAAGCTGTCATTTAGAATTGATGGCCATATAAAGATTTTCCCAGGCAAGAAAAGTTAAAGGAGTTCATCACTACCAAACCGTTATTATATGAAATGATGAAGGGTCTTTTTGAAGAAAAAGATAAAATATATGAACAAACAAAATGGCAATGAAGACATATCTATCAACAATGGAATCAACAAACAAAAT